ATAAACATAACCACGGATAGCTAGCCAAAATTTATTCAATTTTTGCTGCACAAATCTCAAAATAAAACCATGAAATACTTTTAATACATGACAAGATAAGATGAAATTAAAATATTTATGATAAGAAAAATTTTAATGATAATATATTGAACATTGATACAACGATCAATGCATCCCACACACTCAAAGATCAATGCACCCCTATAGGTACAAGCTACATACCTAGAGCTATATCTCATACAAGAAGGTAGCACAAATCACAAATTATAAATATTTATATACCCAAGACATAAACTTACAAAATAGGATGGCTAAGCATTCATATAGTAAATTCATTAAAGATATGATTAAATTACTTTGCAACGTAGATAAAATCACTATTTATAATGAAAAATACAATCTTCTGATTTTAAACCCTTTGCAAAAATATTCTGAAAATATTAGAATATATAATTCAAATTGCCACTCATTTTTGAAAAAAATGAAAGAGTAAACACTAAAAATTAATGCACCCCGGCGATCAAAGCAACTCTATCTCCCCTAAATTAAATTTTAAAACATCTTGAGATCAGGCTTTGCAACTTTAGCAATTTGGTTTTACGGGTGCTGGCCATACAATATTTGCATACAAAAGCTGACAAGACTACAGTAAAACATATTACCTGATATTACTATCAAGAGAAGGTTTCGACTTATTCAAAACATGTGTCCTATTACAGAGGACACCTTTGTTTCAAGAAAACCAATATAGTTCTTCCATGACTAATTTTCTTCAATAAGTACTCCAACATTTTTAAAATTATTTTTCACAATTAATTACATTTTTATTAATACGAAGTTTGGTAGCCCAAAGTTTAGGTAACTTTAAAGGAAAACCATTTGATTGTTTTTTTATATGAAATAGAGTAACAATTCAACAAACTTTTTTGTTCCAAATTCCTATGAAACTTTTTTTTTATAAAGATGTGTTAACTTTTTGATATGTTGATGCGATATAAAAGGAGAGAAAATAGGAAATTTTTAGCAAAAATATAAGTTTCTTATTAAAAAAGTGATTTAGCACTAGTTTCTTAAGATTTTGGGTGATCGAGTACTAGTTTTTTATAATAAAAAAACGTATTTATCTATTTCTAATTGAATTTTACTTTTTAGATTTAGAAAGGTCTGGTTTAAGAGGACCCCTCACTATTCAAAACTGTACCCCTCCTCACTATTCAAAACTGTACAATTTTATTTGGTAAATTTGTGGAAAAATTATTTCGGGGCATGTTTCTAAGAAAAACGCAAAATAAAGTTCGTTTATTTTAAAACAAAAAATTGTTAGTGTTTTTTAACAAGTAAAAATAATTTATATCCTTAATAACCTTAAGTTTACATTTTTTAAATAACTTGACAAGAAGAAAAAGTATTAATGTATTAATATTTCTGAGAAAAAAAAATTTTCTTAAACTTTTTTTTAGAATAAAAGTTAAAAAAATCAAAATAGGAGATAACTTGATCTTTTGCGCAGAGATTTTAATTGAACTTAAATCGTTTTTGAAGTTTTTATTTATTTAAATAAAAACTTCAAAAACGATTTCTTCTCGTATGTCGCATTCTATTACACATTCCATCTGAATAGGGCTACATTGTCAATTAACTTGTCTATTATTCTGTCTGTTAACCATAAAAACCTAGTTGGATGTGTTTAATAGAAGTGCATATTTGAATAAAATAATCATTATACATTTAAAAATCCTCCAAAAAAAAAAAAAAACTACTAAAACAGAAGCAAAACTCAATCAAAAAACAAAAATACACTGTTTTAAACCAAATTGTTTTTCGAACATAAATATTGGTTTGAGAAGTTAAAAAACAACATATACAAAAACTTAAGATAAAAAATATATACTTTTTAAACATTTATTTGTTTTACAATATATAAGATAAAAAGTATATTCCTTATACCGTTAAAATTACATAAAATATAAGAAAAATCATAATCAACAAAAATTAAAATATCAAACTATACAAAGCATACTAGCTGTTATGACAGTTTTTTGAGAGAAAAAAAAAAAAAATATATATATATATATATATATATATATATGTATATATATATAAATACATATATATATATATATATATATATTATATATATATATATATATATATATATATATATATATATATATATATATATATATATATATATATATATATATATATATATATATTAAAGCATTTTCAAATCTAATTTAAAAGATATTAGATATTTAGTTAAATATATAAAGTATTGTTTATTTTTATAATATATATTATATATTTGACTATTACTATTATAATATATATAGTTAATTAATATTATTGTATAGTTGAAAATTTATTAAATTATTATCTCTCTTTCTCTTTCTCTCTCTCTCTCTCTCTCTCTCTTTCTCTCTCTCTCTCTTTCTCTCTCTCTCTCTCTCTCTCTCTCTCTCTCTCTATATATATATATATATATATATATATATATATATATATATATATATATATATATATATATATATATATATATATATATATATACACACAGTATAACAGTATAAAAATATTAATAATTAATGAATAGTGTTAATAATTTAAGAAAACAGACACAAATATATATATATATATATATATATATATATATATATATATATATATATATATATATATATATACACAGTATAACAGTATAATAATAATAATAATTAATGGATAGTGTTCTCAGACACAATCAACTGTTTTTCAAAGAGGTTTTTTTTCCTTTGATTCCAAATATGTATGAAAAACTGAAGATAAAAGCAAAAGTGAGTTTGTGTCATCAGTTTAGCTGAAGACTTAATATTTTGCAAAAAGCTATTGAACTGTTCGCATATAGAAGTATTTATCGGATAAAAATAACCTAAGCGATTGCATCGAAAAACATCAGCACATTTATGTGTATAACCATGAAATACGTCATGGAAAAACGACGTATTTTTATAATATCCTGATTCGCGGTTGTGGCAAAATTCAGATAGACTGCATGCAAAATCATAAACAATATTTTCGGGAGCTACTTCAAGATGAGTGTATAAAGAAGCATGTGGATCTTTTTTTCCCTCTGAACCCGGAATTATATGGAAACCATAACAATGACCATGCATAGAACAAAACCATAAAAAAAGAAAAGATACACCTTTTTTAGAGACCTGAGGAAACACTTTGTTACAAATTTCGGAAGGAACATCATCAAATAAGTTATTGTTAGCACTTTTATCAGCAGAAAACATTCTCATTTTTCTTATTTGAGATCCATGTTTTTCAAAATAATAGGCTCTTCCAAATCTTGGTGGGTTATAGGTCCCTTCAATAACTTCTGCTTTTTTTGGTGGAACATCAACTAAATGAATTTTTTTAACAAAATTACTACAGTATTGGATCAATAAAACAATATCTCCAGAAGGTGTATTGTTGTAGCTTGAGGATATTTCCACTAATCTAGCTAGTTCAGGCGAAAAACATCTTAGAAGATAACAAAACTTTACTGAAAGTTCACAACAATCTACATTAGATAGAAGTTGTTCACATATATAAAGTATTTCATCAGTGAAGCGTAATGGAATTAAAGTATCAAGTGAGCTATCAGCAGAAAGGATTTTAAAAACTTTGGCATAAGACCATCGCAAAAGCACGGTCTTATGCCAAAGTTTTGCGGCACGGGAGATTCTGAAACCATCAGCTGAAATGATGGTATACATTCAGCAGGAATATCATCCACAAGTATATAGTTTAGTTTTAAAGTATCTGCATCAAATCTTATCTCATCTGAATTTTCAACAGAGAGAATAAGAAGGAAGATATTTTTAAGATGTGTTCTAGCATCTGAAAATTGTTTGGGATCAGATAATTCGGAATTATATATAAATGACCTATCAAGTCGCCGCAATGGTGTTTCAACAAGTTCATTAAGTTCAGCTGATTCAATAGGTTTTACAAAAGAATTTTTAAAATTAATCCCAATTTTAATTGCATCGCAAGCTAGAACTGATATAAGTTGATCTTCTGGACACATCTGACATTTTTGTCTAAAATCAATATGCATGTGGGAGGCCCAAGCAAAAAACCAATCTATAAATGTCTGAGTTGACATAAATAGCATTAAAGATGTATTTCTACGCTTATATTTGTTAACATATAAATTAACAAAACCACTAAATGTTCCTTTGCATAAAACAAAATCAACAAACTCCCAGCCTATTAAAATTTAAAAAAACAGACACAAATATATATATATATATATATATATATATATATATATATATATATATATATATATATATATATATATATATATATATATATATATATTTATATACATATATATATATATCAATATATATATATCAATATATATATAATATCAATTTATAGACACTTAAAGTATGTAATATACCTATTTCGTAACCAGCACAAGTAGATTTAGACACACAAAAAACAGAGTCTTTCTATCCATCCCAATAAGCAGTGCAATTATTGGATAAACATTTGCGCAAATAAACATCACACTCAACTACTTCACGGTCGGTGTACATATTGATTTTATGGTAGAATTCAGTAACACCATTTGAAAAAGATTCAGATACCCACCCAGCCTTTAAAGAAGTAAAAATGATCATCATCATCATGATTTAATAGTCTATTGGTTAGTAAATCAATTTATTACAGCCAAGAAACTTCTACACTAAGACTAAATTAAAACTAAAAATATCAAATGGCTTTAAAAAAATATTCTTACACCACATTCACACACCCCAAAATCAGAAGAAGGCATAAAAGGATACCCATTTGAAGCAGACTGTCTTTTTACAATATCACTACTAAATTTATCATTAATTTATCAGCATTAGGCTGCATTTTTTGCCTAAATGCTGAACTAAATGAACCTATGACACAAAAGTTGAAATTTGATGTTTCCTTTATTAATTAAATAAAAAATCAAGTTTTATAAAGAG